CTTTTAATAGAGTAGTGATATATATTTCAGCTTCATTATTATTATTATTTTGCAAATGAGATTTAACTCCAAACTCTATCCTAATGCCAAACTTTCAACAAGAGACTTATAAAAAAGAATTTTATCAAGTGGAGGGTGGGTTCGACTCAAAAGACATTATACGCGTATAAGCAACCGCGTGAACTAAAATGATTTTATATATAAAAACGTGTTAACACTTTAATGCTTCAATATCTTTGATTGCAGCTCAAGAACTCAAATTTGGCTTTTGTTGAACAAAAAACTCATTCCTGGAAATCCCACATCAATTTTAATTCGGTAAAATTCTCTCTCTTTTTCTTGATTCAATTGCAATGATTTCTTGTTTTCGTTTATAATATTGGATTTTTCCTGTTTCTTGATTTTAGTCCGTCTGTTTTGTTTATGAAATCAATCTTATTTTATTATCTTGATGCATGCGTCCGCGTATCTATGTTTCTTCTTGCTTTAATCAAGAAGATTATTACACACGCTGTTATATATTTCATGTAAAGATTAATGCACACACAAGAAAGAGATTTCTCATAGTTATTTTCCTGATTATTTCTGTAAAATATTGGTAAAATTGATCCCTTTTTCTCGCTATAGAACTGGATATTCACAAATTGAAATGGATGGGGTGGGGTGGGGTGGTGATCAGAGTCTTTTATGTTAAATACAGTTGTTTTCCTTCGTTAGGAAATTTTTTCCTGAAATATGACACAAGAAATTTGACCCCGTATGTATCCTTGAGAAAATAAAGGTTATAGGAATCATTTTCGGATCTTGTACAAGATGATGCATATTGTATAGGATTCAACAAGATGGAATTATATGTTTCAAAATGAAGCGTAAATTTTGTGTTTCTCTTGAATGCAATAGTCATTTTTGGTGTGTTGGATTTGAACTTTGGTAGGGTTTGGAAGAAAAAATAGTTAAATCTTGTTTGTTATGCTGTGAAACGTGTAGAGGGACGGATCCAGAATCGGACTACAAGTCGGGCTAATATGTAAAAANCCCCCCCCAAATCCGTCTCTGCGTGTAGTGCTGTTCACTATTGTGTACCAAACTTGCTTGAATGGTGGGAATGTGTTATCACTTAATTAATGCCAGTGGAACCAAGGATGCCTTCATTATGATAACCAAAGATGATTATTTTATTTAACCGCACACAACTTCTTGATGCATACTTCTTCTCTTTTGCTTACAGTTAGCGTAATTGTGATTCAAATTAAAGAAAATGGGAGATGAGAAGGGCATACATGACAGTGAGGATAAAGGGCTGTTCTCTAATCTTGTTGCATATGCCTCTGGTGCTGGACATTACCCTCCGCATCATGGGGCATACCCTCCGCATCATGGGGCATACCCTCTGCAAGGATACCCCCCGCAAGGATACCCCCCGCAAGGATACCCATCACATGGCTATCCTCCTCCGGCTGGATATCCTCCCCATGGTTATCCTCCACCTGCAGGATATCCTCCAGCTGCATATCCACCCCCGGGTGGATACCCTCCAGCTGGTTATCCCGGTCCATCCTATTCAGGTATTATTTTTTGTTACCTCTTAGACTATCATATATATTATTGCCTTTTTGAAGCTAGAATCATCTTCTTCGCGGTGTATCATTATGAATTCACTTGACAAACATATATTATTCAGCAAATCTAAATATGAAGGATAATGATGATTGCTAATTTTAATTGAAACAATTCAAGCTTGGAATCCTTTGACCAATGTTGAGAGTTTGTTTCTTTGAATAATATCACTAATTAAACATGCAAGGGTCAAAATTCAGCTGGATTGCCTTATGACCCAATTTAGCCTGTGTTGCCTTGAGCAAACATCTTTTTCTTCAAAATTGTTTCGCTCTTTGGCATTGTATCCTTCTTCCTTTTAAAATAGAAGATAAGTGATCAAGATATTTGTACTCCTCGGGTGCATAAAATTTTTTAGTGCATGAAGACAAACTTAGTTGACTACGACAAGTAGAACTTTTTGCTACTCAATTTATAATTTATTTCCATCCTCCAAAAGATTTTCATATACACACAGGTAATTTGTTCATTTCTTCCTCCTTTGCAAGGAACTGCATTATTTCCATCTGCATTCTTCATGAAAGTGAATGGCTTTCTTTAAGGGCAATTTCACCTGAGTTAGTGTCTTGTGATGATTTACCAGTGCATTGCTAATATTTGTGATAAACTATTCTTACAGGCCATGGATCTCATATGGGAGCAGTTATAGCTGGGGGTGCTTCATTAGCAGCTGCTGCTTATGGAGGGCACCATTTGTTGCACGGGGGGCATCATGGCCATCACCTCGGTGGATGTCATAGCCATCACCACGGTGGATGTCATAGCCATCACTACGGTGGATATCATGGCCATCACCATGGCAAGCACGGGAAGTTCTAGCATGGGAAGTATGGCAAGCATTGGAAATGATATATTGCACCTCGATTATATTAATTAATAGTGTCTAATATTTTCATTTGATTTATTGGATTCATTTTCTACTAGTCTAATGATAAATTACTGGTTTAAATTTTGACTGCTTAGCTAGCGGCTAATAAATCGTAAATTATTTACTTGTAAAATCGTCTTCATATCACTTACAGGAGACACGAGATTTTTAATAATTAGTTTTTACTAGCTCTTTAGCTATGTTCAATTTACGTTCACAAATCAGCCCAGCTTGAGAGGTTGACAATTCTTCTATGCATCTTATGCAGAAGAATACAAAGCAAAGGACACTTCAATCCCCAAATTGCACGAGAAAGGTGCCTTTGGTGATCACTTGAGAGTACCTACTATCCTAAACTTGGTTTGGAAGAGCCAAGAGAAAATGGCTGATCAAGGCGGGATATTTTCTGTTCCCCCCAAAGAAACATGGCTCTCTCTGATTGGCTGCCCTTGAATCGAAGGCTGTACATCCGCAGCATTTGGCACCACGATTGCTGAAGTGAAAATTGCGCAGATGGACATTTCCGGATCCAGGAAGATGATTCATCGGCAATGACATTGACACATAATCCGACACCTTACGATGAATATTCGAAGACTAGTAGAAGAGATCCATGAGGTACAGAATGCATTGAAGTGACGTGAGATGGTAAATCGAAGTAGCTGCAAAGTTTATCTCACCGAAAAAAATTCCAAGAAAATTGGAGCTCCTCTATTAAATTCTTGCTCGTCCCAATAAAGATTATCTACTAATACAATCAAATAATACATGATAAAGATTAACAACATTAGCTAGCTTACCACAATATATCCAAGTGCGTAAAATTGTATAATCAATTCACAAGTGTGTAACGAATAATGCTAGCAAAAATCATTTAAGCTTATCCAATGTCCAGATCGGTATATGTGTGTATAGTCACTTTCAATCATCTAAATTAGGAAAAAATTGTCAAACGAAAAAAGTTTCAAATTGGCTCCAAACCGACCCTTTGTGGTCAAATATTTC